GCAGCAGCAGCAGCAGCAGCAGCAGCGGCAGCAAGCCTGCTGCTGTACCTTGGTGGCTAGCAAATGTTGGTAAGCCCTGCCAGGTGGACATCGAGCCAGAGGGATTTGCTGAAGACGCTGATGAAGATAGCACACAGGAGCCGTCTGCTGCTGCGCCAGCTGCTGCACCTGCTGCTGCTGCTGCAAAGCCTGCCGCTGCGGATGCTGCTAGGGCACCTGCTGCAGCTGCAGCACCACCAGCAGCAGCAACGCTGCAAGGAGGTATCTTCGGGGATCTTCCCATACCAAAGCCAGCGCCGCCATCAGGTTCACTGTTCACCTTTGGCAGCAGCAGCAACCACGCCAGCAGCAGCAGCAGCAGCAGCGGGAAGCCACCGCCAATCTTCACTTTCAGCGCTGGGACTAGCAGCAACAGTGTGGGGAGCAGCAACAACAGCAACAACAAAGGACAGTCTGCACCTTTTATATTTGGCGCCGGGAGTGGCAGCAGCAGCAGCAGCAGCAGCAACAGCAACAGCGCACAGATTACTCCGCTCTTTGGACAGCCCCTGGGTGGGGGTGCAGGCGGCGCTGCTGCTGCTGCTGCTCCGTTTTCGCTGTTCGGGGCCAGCAGCAACACATCAGCCGCTGGCAGCAAGCCTTCGCTCTTTGGTGGCAGCAGCAACACGGGACTGTTTGGCGCTGCTGGCAGCAGCGGGACAACAGCAGCAGGGGGACGGGGGTTGTTCGGCGCAGCACCTGCAGCAGCGGCCGCAGAAGGTAAACCTTCTCTCTTCGGCAGCAGCGGCAGCAGCAGCAGCGCAGCAGTGGGCAGCAAGCCGAGTCCGTTTGGAAGCAGCGGCGCATCCTCAAAGGGTCCCTTTATATTCGGTGCTTCCAACAGCAGCAACACGAGTGCAGCAGCAGCAGCACCAGCAGCACCTGAGAAGCCGTTTATCTTCGTAAGCAGCAGCAACACTGCAGCGGCCCCCCAGCAGCCTTCCCTCTTTGGCGGCAGCAGCAGCAGCAGCAGCAGCAGCGCAGCAGCGAAAGCAGCTCCGAACCTCTTTGGGCAGCCACTGGCTGCCCCCAGCCACTCAGGCGCAGCCCCAGCCTCTGAAGGGGGCGGAGGGAAAAGAAGCAGGACAGAGCCAGAGGGGCCCCCCGCGAAGAGTTTGCTGCGGAGCTCGGAAGCAGGGAAGGGGGGCCCCCCAGGGGCCCCCGTGCAGGGGGCCTCCATCTTTGGGGGCGCGTTGCTGTCGTCCAGCGAGGGGTTGGGGGCCCGCCCGGCCTTCGGCCTCTTCGGCAGCCAGCAGCAAGACAGCAGCAGCAAGCAGCCAGCAGCAGCAGCAGCAGCAGCAGAAGCCAGGCCTTCGGGGGGCGCCAGCATCTTCGGGGGGCTTGGCACCACGGGGGCCCCAGGCGCAGGAGGCATTCCAGGCTTTGGGTCGGGGCCCCTCCAGGGGGGGAACTTCATCTTTGGGAAACCCCCAGCAAGCGGGACCTCCCCAGCCAGCAAGGGAGGGTAGCAAGTTTTTGCCAGGCTCTGCAGCTCCCTGGGGGTCCCCCGGGGAGCCCTGGAGCCCGAGAGACCCCCCAAAGGGGCCCTAGAGGGGCCCCAAGGGATCCTCAGATGGGCCCCAGAGGGGACCCCCAGGGGCCCCAGAGGGGCCCCCGAGGAGCGCCAGAGGGGCATTTTGAGCTCTTACGGTCGCGCTGGCTCGGGGGGCCCCCGTGGGGCCCCCCGAGCCAGTTGGCTTAGTTGTTTGGACTATCTTTTAAGGCGCTTGCGGCTCGTGTTGCTGCGCTGCACTTCTTTTGAATGCCTAAATGGCACGCAGCTAGTGCATGCAGCAGATAGCAGCAGTTCGTGTTGGCGCGTAGTCTGCAGCGAACTCGCGGGCTGGAGCTGGAGGCAGCAAAACGCATGCAGAGCACCTCCAGCGGGCTGCCTCTGCAACAGCGGCAGAGAGGAAGGTAGCGGCCAAGACACAGCAGCAGCAGCAGCAGCAGCAGCAGTAGCAGGTAAAGAAGCCCCGACGGCTCGAGCCGCCCGCGTAGGGGGCATCAGCAAAAAGACCAGTAGAAT